ATTATACCCTGATTTCCCATTTTCAATGGGTTCAGGGTATAAAAATATATGTATAAAAATTAAAAAAAAAAAAATTATCTATATAAACAACATTTTTAGCTTCATTTATGTAAAATTAATTTGATTAATTTAAACTTGATTATGTGTTAATATATATGTATGTATGTGTTTATGATATAAGTTAATTGACACTAAAATGAACTTAAATATTACATATATACATTTTGATAGTTTTAAACGCCATTTAATTATGTAAGTCATATTTTTAATTTAAGCTAAGTTTTTATGCAATTATTTTACAGTTAATATATACATATATACATATACATACATAGATATATGTATGTACATATATGTTATTTTGATTGCTTATATAAAATATTAAATATTAACAGAATTTTTTATTTTCATATACCTTATGATTATCACCCTAGCAGATGTGCTCTATCATACTCTCCATTGTTATTTTATTTTTTTATGTCATCTTAGATAGTTTAGCTTGGGGCCATTTTGTTTCTTTGTCGGCTAAATGATAGAGTAGATTTATATAAGCTATCATTTAGCTTTGGGTATCTTATTTAAGTATTTCCAAGATAGAAGACGAAACTATCTATCGAATATTTTAAAGAAATCTATTCTGTATCTAAGAGAAGGTGGTGTATTACAAAAAGGTTTCTCCATGAAATGAAAGCCCTTAAGACTCGCCCCTGTCTCAGATAGCTAGCAGATACTTTTGTATCTGACAGATATATGTTGTATCTCATGCATTTCAGACTATCTAATGGCGCCTCACTCACGCAAAACATTTTGACAGTTATTTATGAAAAATGTTTTTCTGTTTTCTGGCAGCCAAAAGGAGAGAGTGAGAGTGAAGCAGAGACAGAGCGAGAGGGAGATAGATTTAGATAGTTAGAGCATTACAGCTTCAGTCAATCGAGTTTTATTACAGCTGTGCGCGTGCTCAAAAATACCCCCCAAAAAAAAAGAGAAATTTTCGCAGTTGGCTTTGTTTGACCTTTGGCTTGGCCGTGGGCGTGCGTTGTGCAAAAAAACTAAAAGATCGGCCAGCGCGCAAAACTGTTTCTAGCGGGTCGTTAGTCAGTTGAAATTCAATGCTATCTACACACACACACACACGCACACACACGCACGCATACGCACACGCACACGCGCGCACACAGAGTCGCAAATTAGTTCACTAGGTGCCTGATTGCTGCCCGCTGCTGCTGCTGCTGTTGTTGTTGTTGTTGTTGTCATTTAAATTTAGCGTTGAGCAGCAGCGTACAGCGACTGAAACATTGAAAATCATAAAGAAACCCAACAGCAACAACAACAACAACAGCAACAACAACAACAGCAACGGCCACAATGATAATAATAATAAAAATTTCGCACATATCTGTCCTTGACACACATTGCGTATACGCAATTTACGCAGCCGGCAAGCGAGTGAGGGAGCGCGAGTGCGTATACGCATTAGTGTTCGTTGTGTGCGTGTGTCTGTGTGTGTGTGTGTGTTTAGTTTGTCTGTGACCTACTTACGTATCTGCCAGATACAGATAAGAACATATGTTTCGCAGTATTCGCAACAAATTTTCGCATCAACAGCTGCTCCAACTATTCGCCTCTCTCTCTCTCTCTCTCTCTCTCTCTCCTTCTCTGTTGAGGCGGAAGTGTTTGGTCGGCCTGCATGGGCGTGGCTGGCATCTCTATTGAACACTCGACTGCATTATTGGCATTGATTAATTGACGCGCCGCCGCCAGTTCAAAAGGTGCGACATAAGACAAATTATGCGAA